CCAGAACCTGCAGCTACTACACTTGAATCAGTGACCTCGCGGCGACTCAATGAAGCTGGTACAGTTGTCATCCCCATTCTACAGATGGGCCAACTGAGGCCATGTACAGAACCCGTCGTGGGCAGAGCTGGGGTAGGAATCGGGAGCCCCTGCTCTGAACTCCATTGCCACCCTAGCTCCTGGCCATGTCCGCTGAAGTATGGCCACCCAGCTGCTCCCAGGCTGCTGCTGAATTTCACCTTTACCTGCAACACCTGGGGCTCCCAGGACATGCACCCGCTGGCCTTCGCCAGGTTTTCTCTGAGACCTGCCCAGGGCCACGACACAGCTCCCTCATTGCAAACGGGCTCACCAGAGGTACTGAGCCTCCTCTTCCAGGCCAAAAAGAGTTCCCGGTGTTTTTGTTAAACTTGTAGGAGTGAGGCTGCTGGGCAGAGCAACCTGGGTCTTTGGGGTCCCCATGGGAAGGCTTGCCCTTCTGGTTCACGGTCGACAGCTGTTACAACTCAGTGAGGGGTTGGGATGTCCAATACAGCAGCCCCTCGCCACATACTCAGCTACCGAGTGCTTAGAAGGTGGCTGGTCCAAACTGTAGGCATGTGCTGTGACTATAACATGTAACACACACCAGATTTCAAAGACTTATTATGAAAACAAGCATGTAGAATATGGCCTTAATAATTTTTATATTAATTACACGTTGAAATGATAATATTTGTGATATACTGGTTGAATAAAATACATATGATCAAAATTGATTTTATATTTTGATTTTCTGTTTAGTTTTTTAACATGGCTACTGGAAAATTCAAGATTACATCTGCGGCTCTTGTCATATTTCTATTGGACAGAGGTGGTCTGTACCCTTCTGGAGGCCTCTGAGTGCCTACTAGATATAAGCTGGGATCTGTTGTAGCCTATTGGCTCAGATGTTGCCACCTCTTTAATTCTTCTCAAAGAAAGGAAGCCAGAGGTCACCCCATGTGGAAGGCTGGAAGGTGGGGGTCCAATCAGAATTCTCCCCCAAAATCCTCAACCAATGGGAGGGTGGAAGAACTTTTTCCCAAGAGCCCAAAGCCCAGGCAAGGCCAGCCCTCTCCATCATCATTTCCTTCAAGGACCAGGGCAAAGCAGGTTGCGGAGCCAAATGATCTAAACAGAAGGAGACCTCAAGCCACAAGGGAAAGCCATGTACGCAAAACCCACACATGTAATTTTAAAATTTCTGGTAGTCATAATAAAAACGGGAAAAAGAAATAAGTGAAATTAATTTTAATAATATAGTCTCACCCGAGGCATTCAAAATATTCTCATTTTAACCTATAATCAATGGATCTCATATTCTTTTTTCCATACTAAATCTTCAACGTCTGGTGTAGATTTTATACTTACAGCACATCTCCCTTCACATGTGACGAGTGGCTGCCTCACCAGACGCTACAGCTCTAGACAGCCTACAAGTCTGACACCCAAAGGACCCTCCACCAGAGGAAAATGAGCAGAGAGACTGGTCACAACCTAAATGTGCACTGCTCAGTAAACTGATAAGTCATACAATTTCAGCCACTAAGATTTGTTTGCAAAGAGCTCTGATGGCAGGGAGAAAGCAACTCCATGAATATTTAAACAGAAAAAAACGGGGTGAAAATACACAAAAGCAATAAATAACAGTAATCGTTAGGTGGTGTGGTTGTGAACCTTTCTCTTTTCCTTTATACTTGTCTATAGCTTATCAATGCTCTAATACTAATTTAGAAATTATTTTAAAATGTAAAGAGATTAAAACAAGTCATGAAATATTCATTGAGCTACTACATGTTTGGCCCTAAGTTCTCCAAGAAGGTGATGAAACACCCAGCGACTGAAGACGGAACTCACGTATCATTTGTGGGGAGAGGGAGCATTCGCCCCATTAGGTATTTTCCCCACACTTTAACTGGGAATGGCAAAATCCACACCAGCATGGGCGGCAGGGCACTACGTGCTGAGTCAGCAGCAGAGACACGTGTCTAATGCAGATCAAACCTGCATGTGTGTCAGCAAAAGGCGCCTGCATTTCGCTGGCCTGCAGTTATGAGGGTGGCCCTTGTAGGGCAGGAAAGGCGGCTGGGTGTCGATGGAAATGCTCAGACTCGAAAAACAGGTGATCACATTCTTTCAGCATGTGCAAAATGTGAGCCAAATCATTTATAAAATGCCTGCAGCTGTTTGGGAGGATACACTAGCCAGCCACAGGTACTAATTTAAAGTCCAGCCCCGCCCTGCTCACATATGCATCACGTACGTGCGTGCGTGCGCACACACACACACACACACACACACACACACACGGAGCACCGCAACAGCCAAAGGCCTAAGGATGCTGCATAGCCGGTTCACAATGTGTCTGTTCACAGTATCTCCATTTCCCCAAAAGGATGAAACTCCTGAGCAGCAGCTTCTGCACAACCATAGGTAGCATTTCGCTTCCAAAAGAACAGGCAGGCACCCTGCAAGTGCGAAGGTCTGGGAGTCACAGTTGTATCTGTCATTTGTCCCCCTCTAATCCTGAGATCTCTGTGGAGTGTGACTGCTGTTGGTGATCAGACATTCCTGCTTCAGACAGTAAATCAATGTTGAGTCCATTTGCCTCGAAAGGGAATAGCTACCTTAGCGGCTGTCTAGGGCTCAGGGGGGTGGGGAGTTGGAGTGTGATGTCTAAGGGGTACGGGCTTTCCTTGCGGGGGGGACAACAACGTTTTAAAATGGATTGTGGTGATGGCTGCACAACTCTGTGATTATACTAAAAGCTATTGAATTGTATACTTTAAATGAGTGAATTCTATGGTATGTGAATTCCATCTCAATAAAGCTGATTTTTTGGTTTTTGTGTTTCAAACAGTAAGTAATAAGCTCAGATAGGGAAGCAACTCACTTCAATGCCTTTTACAGCAACGAAGCTTTCAGTCATGTCAGGCCCTTCTTTACCTGTATGAAGAATCGGGAAGGGCTATTTGCTTCGTTCTTACACAAGGACTCGAGTGTGGGCAGTTCTCATCCTGTCTCTGTTGAGGGAAGGTAGCGTGGTTCTCCAGAGCTGACACCCTTTCACTCACCGTTCTGCTCCTCCCGCACTGCTGGCCTCGCCGGAAATGGCCTCGCCGGTGACATCTGGAGCACCCTTCTCAGGAATGGAAGCTAAGGTGGCTGGGCCAGGCCCGGGGCTCTTTCTGGGATAATGTAAAGAAAGCGATCGGTGGTGAGAAGGGCACTTCTCTTGGTGTCCTATTGAAAAGCCCAAGTCCCAACCAAAGCTTTAAATGACGACTATGCCAAAATCCCTAGGAAAAAAATTAGTTTCAGGCAGTCGATAGCTTTGACATTCTTCTGGATCATTTAGGCCTCTCTGCATAAGTATATCCAGATTCAAAGCAGATGTATCTGGACTCCAGGAAAACATACGGTTGACTATATAACCTATGACCCATAGTGCACTGCCAGCCAGTAAACATTTCGTGCTTTCCAAACAGTTTAAGTGCGATGAATTGAAGAACACGAGAAAAGGCGTAAGACATGTTAAACAAACATCTCCTACACACCACCCATGACTCACATTTTTCAGAATCTCAGCCCTTGCAGAGATTGTAAGCAGGTAAATGTAGACAATTAGACTTGGAAAACTTAGATTACCAACTGCCCGTGTATTTGATTGACTTATAGAAATCGGGGTGAGAACCACTTTTGAAGCCGACCCCACGTTCCCATGGGAATTGGTTATTTTAAGTACCTTTCGGCGCGAACTGCTTCTGGAACCAGGATTTGCGGCTTTGGGTCATGAGTTTCGTCAGGTTCTGGAGGTGAGGAGACACACACCTTCCCGTTCTCAGCAGGAGCAGGAAGCTCAGGCCGGGGCTGCTGCTCAGCCTCCTGGGGCCCAGCTGGGCTCTCCCCGCGCAGGGTGGCTGCAGCCTCCATCCCCGGAGGCCCCTCAGAGCAGCCTGGGGCCTCACAGCTCCCTGGCAGCGTGGAGGCAGGAGCCACGCCGGAGAGCATCCTCGTAGCACCTGTTTCCGGCAGGTCACCAGACACATGTGCCCCGGTCTCAGCGGTGCTCAAAGTGATGTCACCCTCTGCTTCCCCAGCAGTTCCTGCCACCAAGCCCGGCTCCAGGGGCGTATCCGTCACTTCTCCAGCTGCTGGCTCAGGGGCACTCTGACTGCCCTGGGCATTCTGTGTTTCCGAGATCCCAGCAGCACCTCCATGCCTCTTTTCACCCCCAGGTGTGTCGGGGGCCCAGGGCTCACTGACAGCCTCGGCCACAATCGGAACATCCCCATGGGGAGAAGATGCTCGCAGGGCAGAGGTGGACGCTGGCATGTCACCTGGAGCCCCTGTGTGAGCAAGACCCCTGGCCTCATCTTCGCTGGGTTGACTGTTGCTGGCGGATGTTCCCTGGTGCTGTTTTCCAGAAGGAATTCTATCATCTTGAACCAAGTCCCCTTCCCGGTGGCTCTGGGGAGCCACCTGCAATTCAGCAGCTTTCTCCACCGGAGTCCCTGGAGAAGCGGCCTGTGAAGAGAGGCCCAAAGCCGAGTCCTGCCAGCGGCTTCCCCCCTGTGAGGGGGCCTGGCCTCCAAGCCTCAGCCCGCCTTCCCCGGCCCCCTCCGCCGTCTCGCTTTCCTTCAGCATCTGCGGGGCGCCAGTCATTTCCTTCCCCACGTTGGCACCTGGCAGGCTCTGCTCTGAGGCCGGCCCCACCAGCTCTGGCAGCTTCTCTGGAGCTGGATCCTGGGGAACCAGATGGGAAATCTCAGCCTCTACAGCCAACTCGTGCCTCCTCTCCTTTGAGTTCACCCAGAGTCCAGCAGGAGGGGCAGGGAGAGGGGCTACAGCCACTCCATCTGGAAGCTTCTCTGGGCTGAATGACATGGCCAGGTCCTTGCCTGCCAGGCTCCTCCCAGCTCCTGCCTTTTCTCCCGATGTCCGCTGAGGCCGATCTGCGGTCAGGGCCCCGAGCACAGACTTCTCAAAGATCTTGGTGATGTGCTCCCTGAAGTCAGGGAACCCGGCAACCGTGCTGGTCTGCTTGGAGCTTGCATCCACACCACGTGATGCGCCCATCGTCGGATCCTGGGAAGGTTCTACCATCTTCTCCCCACTGCTTTCCGGCCGGCCTGCTGCATCACCTGCCATGCCCTCCTCACTGGCAGGGCACTCAGGAGGCTCACAGGGGTGGGCACCTGCATCGGAACCGCTTGCCGCTTTCTTCTCCCCTGTCGTCAGCTTACCATCGGCCAGAAACGGCGTCCTGTCCAGGTAGGGTACGGAGTCCACAAGTTCCTCAAAGGTCCCGGCTTTGAGGCTTCCACTGCTGTCTCGCCCTGCAGAGATTTCCCCACCTGCACCTCCTGGCTCAGAGAGGGGGCCAAGGGAGCCAGCAGACAGCTTCCTGGAGGCGGCATTTCCCAAGGCAAGCAGGGGCTCCGCTATGGGACAAGGGCTTTCACCAGGACCTCTGGGACCTCGAGAGGAAACCTCTTTCACTTCACAGTCTTCTGCGCCTTTCCTGGCAGCACCGTCAATATGCAGGTAAGGAGTGTCAAGAACAGTCTCTTCTGGTGGCCCAGATGGCAGGAGCCTCTTAAGGTCAGGGACAGCCTGGGCTGCAGAAATATCCACTGTGCTCCTCAGAGTCTCACCCAGCTCTCCTGCTGGCAGCAAGGTATCCTGGGAGCTGGCCGAGGGCTGGTCAGCTTGGCCAGGCTCACCTGGGGCAGACGTGGAAGCTTGCTCCCCAGGGGAGAGGCACTGCTCAGTCTGAAGCAAGCCACTGCTTAGAGCAGCTCCTCCTGGCTCCTCTGGAGCCCGCTGCATCCCCAGGTCTCCTTCATCAGCACCCCCACCAGTCTCAGTAGCCCCACCTTCTGCACCACGCTCCTCGGCTGATGGGAAACTTCCAAGAAGCTTTTGGGCCTCTGCATCCAAGGCGTTGTTGGGGCACTCCATTTCCTTCTGCGGGGCCGGTGCTGGTCGGTGCCTGCCTTCCTGGGTCTCATCACATGCCTCTCTCTCCGGAGCATCCTGAGTGGGTGTGACGCCGGGGCTGGCAGGCACTGGGGCTGGCAGGCAGTGAGCTACATCCAGGAGTGGTACTGAGTCAGGCCGACAAGGTAGGGCCCCCACTGTGTTCCCACTTGCCTTCTCCATCTTACGCAAGCCCTTGAGTGGGGGGCAAGTGTCAGCAGCTTCAGAAACTTCTGTATCCCCGCGGCAGGCTTCATCATGCTGGCTACTGCCTTTTGGCCCAGCAACCAGCTCCTGCTGGGACTTGCTCAGCCCCTGCCCAGCACAGCAGCTTTCCTTTGTGGTTAAGCCTCCTGCAACAGAGGAGTCTTGTAAGGTGTCTGCTGCAGGACGCGAGGCCTTGGGGGACTGACTGCCAGTGCATGCTCCCTCTTGTCCACTCTCCCCTAGTCCTGACAACTCCGAGTGCTCTGTCACAGCGCATTGCAGATCTGTGTCCCTGGGAGCTGAACTTGGAGCATCAGACAGGCTGCCTTTGGAGGACTCACTTTGAAGTTCTGTGTCAGAAGCCTGCTCCTCTCCTCCGTGAGTGGGCAAGCTCACCTCCTCCTGAGCTTCCACAGGTCCGTGGATTTGGGGCGAATCTGCACCTGGGTCCTTCAAACCTGGATCACTTGGAGAAGTCTCTTTCTCATTTTCACACGGCTGGGCCTTCTCCCTGAGCGTATCAACGACAGATGCTTCTGGGTCCAATTGGGATGGGTGAAGATGGTTCTCAGAAGATATTGGGGGCCCCTCGGGTGCAGTTACTTGCATCCAGCTGTTTCCTGGGGAGGGCGGATTTCCCTGCTGATCTTGCTCCGGGCTGAGCATCGTAAGCCCACAGTCCACTGCTAAGCTCTCCCCATCGGGGGGATGTGGCTCCTCAACTTGGACTTCCTGTCCAGCTGCATCACGCTCCAGCCCACGGGGTTGGGGGGACGTCAGCAAGCCCTCCCCATCACAGCTGCCGGGCCCCTGCACAGACGGGTGGCTCCTCGTCTGTATTTCAGATGAGCTCTCCACCTCCTGAGCTTTGGGGACGACCTCTGCAGCCGGAGTTGACAGGAAGTCTGATTTCTCAGATTCTAAAGCAGGAAGAGAGTCCATTCTTCCCAGTCCCCCCACGTCCTGAAGGGTGTCAGGACGTTTGGGCTGCAATCCCGGCCCCTCCCAGGCAGCTCCTTCGGGAATAACGTGTTCACTGGCTCCATCTGGCCCAGGGGGCGGGACAGGACCCTGCTCATGGAGCTCGTGCACTGAGCCAGACTCATGGACCACACGGGCCCCTGAGCTGCGAGCTGCAGCTTCTGATGAAGAGCAGGGCCCGTCTGCGTGCCCGGGTTCCTCCTTTCTGAGTGGCTGTGCTGAGGCCATGCTCGGAAGGACTTTGCTCCCCGTGTCACTGGTGAGCTTTGAAACCTCGTCTTTCTCTATCTCTGGGTTGGTCTTGCCGCTGAAGGCCCGGGGTTGCTCTCCACACAGGTTCCCAGGATCTGCGCCGTCAGGCGGCTCTAGGGCGTCTTCCTGTTGTATAGGGTCAGCCCCAGGTCGTCTGCTTTTCTCCTCAGCAACAGCTGGGCTGTCAGGGGCCTTGGCTTCATCCTCTGACCCAGATAACCTTCTGGAACTTTTGTCTGATGCACAGGGAGGAGGGGTCAGCACTGCTTGTGGGGCTTTGAGGCTCTGCTCCCTGTAGCAGAGCTCTGCTCTCTCCTGGCTTGAACAGGCAGGAACCTCTTCAGGGCTCCCTTCCAGACCCTCTCTTTCACTTCCAAGATCTAATGCATGATTCTCCTGTCCCACCAGCCCTGCAGCTGCCAGCTCTTTCGCCGGATCTGTAAGAACGGGCATCTCAGCCCCTGAAACTATCTCCCTGGCCAGCCAGCTGGGTTCTTCTACAGCAACAGAGGCCCGAGCAGCAGTCTGAGAAGTGAGGCTTGCAGCTGGGCGCGCATCCTCAGCACTCACAAGCTGAGCCCCTTCAGGTTGGCGGTCTGCTGCCACGCAGACAGCTTTATTGGGCTCGGTTTCTTGTGTCCCCATCTGTGAGTGATACTGAGCATTACTGGCATCCAAAATCTCCATCCAAGAGTCCCTGGCCCCCAGCGCCAGGGCAGGACACAATGAATCCCAGGGCATTTGAGCCCCCATTTGCTGCTGGCAGCTTTCCCGGGAAACAGCAATTGCCTCAGCTTCTGGGGCAGCCCCTGAGCTGCCCCCAGTGGGACAGCAGGCCCCAAGGAATCTCGAGTCGGCAGCTGAATCCTGAGGCGGCACCTCTACTTCACAGTTTTCTCTGCCTGAGGCTCTGGGGGCCGGATCTTGTGGGGTTGGGGTCTTGGGCTTTGGGGGGTACTCCTCCAGGCCAGCTGAACTCTCCTTGCCTGACTGGGTTGCAGGAGGGCTCCCAGGAGCCACTTGTATAGAAGCTGCCACTTGCCCGGACTTTGGCAGGGGGAAGCCACCTGCAGCCTCTTTCTCTTGGGACTCGAAACCACCAAGCCGGCCATCTTCCCCACACAGCTGTCCCTTCGCTGGCTCTCTGGGAGGTGCTGGTGAAGTTCCTGGTGACTGATTCGTGGAACTGGAGAACGTGGATTTTTGTCCCCCTTCTTTCAGGGCTTCCTCTCTTCCAGAACTGGGTGCAATGGCAACCACACTGTGCTGAGTGGGGCTGTCCCCACAAGGGGCAAATGCTGCCAGGGAGTCCCCTGGGGCATGTGGAGAAAGTTCCTTCCTGGGGTGCTGAGCGAGGGGCTGGGCGAGGGGCCAGTCTTCAGGTGCTGCTGCTGGACTTGCCAAGCAAGCTTCCGGGGGGCCCTCGGCAAAGGGCATAGTGGCTGAGGGGCACTCTTGTGCCCAGGGCACTGGCGGTCGGGGCAGTGGAGAACCTTCTGGGCCTCTGGCTTTATGTGGGTGCTTCTTTGGTTCAGTCACCTCTGGGGACACGATGCATGGATCCAAGCTGGCAGCACCCTCAGAAAGCAAGCAGGAGCCTCCGTGCCCGATGCTGCAACAATGAGAACACTGAATGTTTTATAGGTTCTCACGGATGCCAAGGACAGAGCCACATCCCAGGCAGAATTACCCCAACCCTACCCGACGACAGGCCACAAAACACACCATCCCCATGCAGTTCATTCCTACCCCTCTCGGTTCCATCCCTCCCATAACCATTACACAAGCCATCACTTTCTCCAAAAATCAACACGGGGAACCTCAAACATTCAGTTTGGGGCTTTCCATGCTGGTCAGTACTAAATAGGGAAATACGGAAACAACTCATAATAGTCTAAAATGCGAGAAACTCCAAGTTTTTAAATAAGTTTAATATAATAATAGAGGGTTTGATCCAGTTTTGTGTAGTTTGCAAGGAGGTCCCAAACACTCCTGGGGATCCTTAGATGTTTTGGGGGGAGGGGAGAGGCACAAACAAGCACAGCCATGCTTTGAAATAAAGAGCCAGTCTTGATAATAGTTAACTTGAGTCTTCACATTCAACAGGTGCTGCTGTGAGAGGCATAATCCAAAAGCCATTCTATTTAGCTGTGGAATTCCTGTATGTGACCTAAATATAGCTCTTGGGAGTTGAATTACTTTATACCCTTATTTGTCTTGAACACACTTTAGCTGAACAATGTGGGAAGAAAAACTATGAAGTGTGCCAGGAAACTTGGGGGAACCGGGCTCAGAATTGCGGACTTGCTATAGGTAAACAACTATCCATTTCTTGTGAAGTAGCTTATCACATGCTCTATGTTTCTCAATTCTATGTAGGTTTAATTAAGTGCGTTTTTAAATTTAAAAAAATAATACATTGCCAATACAAAATTTTGAAAATGTATAAAGGTAACAGAAATATGGCTTTTTAAAGGCTCTTACCATTTTCTTTAAAGTTATCATAGGGAGGAAAATGTACAGACTCTTCTTGTAACTGTGTGTTACATACATACACATTCACACACACCTAGACCCACAGCGTTTTGGATGTGACCAGTGGAAAAAAATTCTCTCTAAAATGCTCAGTACCAAAATTCTTGCTTTCCATGCAATGCATATACAATCACGTATGAGGGATGCATGCAGTGGGAATGTGAAGTACGTTCCTGTTAAAATTTCGAAATCTATGTTATGGATTGAGTTGTGCCCTTCCCCCCGAATCCATACGTTGAAGCCCTAACACCCAATGTTACTGTATTTGGAGACAAAGCTTTTAAGGAGATAATTAATTAAATGAAGTCATACGGATAGAGTCCTAATTCAACAGGACTGGTGTGCTTACAAGAAGAGGAAGGGACACTAAGAGTGCCCTCTTCCAAGAAAAGACACAGCAAGAAGGTGCCATCTACAAGCCAAGAGGAAAGATCTCACCAGAAACCAACCCTGCAGGCACCCTGAACTTGGACCTCCAGCCCCTAGAACTGTGAGAAAATTAATTTGTGTTGTTGAAGCCACCTCAGGCACTCTGTTATGGCAGCCTGAGCAGACTAATACAATAGGTGTAAGGATACTATCCTCTCCACATTGTTGAGGTTACAAGTTTCCAAAATGAAAAGTTGGGAAGATAATTATAGATGAAATTCAGTGGACATCAAGTCTTTGCGTGGATTGTCTCTTTTGCCCTTGCTGATGGGTGTAAACTGCTGCCATTTTGCAGACGAGAACATTGAGAACAGAGAGGTTGAGCTTGAGTTTGATGGGCCATGATGTTCTTATTCATTCTATGCTGCCTCCAAGATAAGAACTTCCAAGGACGGAGGCTGAATGTTTTTGCCCCCAAATTCTTATGTTGAAATCTAATCCCCAAGGTGAGAGTATTAGAAGGTGGGGCCTTTGGGAGGTTATTTGTTCATGAGGGTAGAGACCTGGTAAATGGGATTAGTGTCCTTATAAAAGGGACCTCAGAGAGCTCCCTTGCCCTTTCCACCGTGGGAGACACAGGAGAAGATGGCCATCTATGAACAATGGAGCTGGCTCTCACCAGACATGGCATCTGCTGATGCCTGGACGTTGGACCTCCAGCCTCTAGAATCGTGAAAAATAAATGTTGTTTAAGCCCCCAGTCTGTGGTATAATATTTTTGTTATAGCGGCCTGAACAGACTGAGACAGACGGCAAGAGGCTCCCTGGCTTCATTCCAGCCTTTCACCAAGCCCCTCGCCTGTAAAATGCATGTGACATCCTATGACATCCTTGAAGGAGGCGTGTACACATCATCACAACACCAGTCATCCTTATTTAATGCCTGCTCCTGAACGTATGACAAGAATGGTGTGCCTGAGGCCCTGAAAGGTTCAAGATGGACCCAAGAGAGAGTTGGCTACTCTCTCAACCAGGTGATCATTTTCTGACCCAAAAGCAGAGCTGACAAGAGCAAAGAAGAGGAAACTCAGAGAGTAAGTTATCTGAATTCCTCCAATTTCCAAATGGCCACGAGGACTGAAGTGCCCACGAGAGCTCTGGCTCAGCACCAGCTGGCACATGGGACACCACCTGGGATGCAGTAAGGAGCCAGGCCTGGCCTTCTGGAAATCATGAACTCAAGAGGGCTCACAAGCTGCAAGGCTATTGGCTCCATGGATTGTTCCAGAACCAGCAACTCTGCACTCCACATCTGGTCATTTTCCTTTAAACAAGCCCTTGACATTTAATTGTGTCCCACCTATTAACTAGAGCTCAAACCATTTAGTAGCTAATGAGAATAATGGTGTGTGATTCTGAAATGAAGCACTCCTATTTAGGTCGGCTTGCTCAAGGAGCACACGAAACACCCCGCTCCACGCTGGTAATAAGACAGACAAAGCCACTTCCTCGTCCCCACCTCTGGCAGGAGCGGCCAGTTTAAGAGGAGTATGTCTTCCCTTCAGGCTGACTGAAGTCATTATCATCTGGGCGCAAGATGATAAACTCCCTGGATTTGGGCCCTTGAAAACTTGTGGGTCTTATCACAGAGCAACCAGGAACAAACCTCCCACTGAGCGTGAGGTTCATACTTCTTCCACAAGAAGAACCCAGCATCGGTTTATTTCACAGAAGCTGAGCGCGGCAAATCTCTTTGATGAGCCATCAGAAGCAATTCTGAAAGCCGGATTAAAGCCACACACCAGGAGCAGATTTGCCTCGGGGCAGGCAAAACTCTAAGAACGGATCTGTTGAGGGCTCAGCATTAATCGAAGCTTACATAATGTCCTTTTATGCTTCAAGATTGAGTCGAAATGTGTGGGACGGAGGTTCTGCTCAGAATTCAAAGGCATGCTCCCCGTGGGCTGGGCTCTCAACGGAAGGCTTTCAGCCTGAAGGGGGCACTGCCTTTGTGTGGAGGTCGGGAGGGCACTGGGACTGCAGCCTCCTTGGTGCAGACAAGACACCCCAGCACGACACAGGGAGAAGCATGGGGTGCGGACCTGGAAGGCGGGGTGATTTGCTGCAGCAAAGTTCTGAGCAGACCTGGGGAGGCAGAAAAGCATCCCCCCCATCCCCCCCACCACACACACACACACACACATACTACCCTAGCTGAAGACAATCGCAATTGCATCCCGAGGGGTTCGAACTAAGTGCATAGTTCTGAAGGCAACACACCAGCTGACCAGGAATGCTTGGAGAGAGGAAGGAGCCAGCTGAGGACAAAAACAAGCATGGCTGTGCACTGCCAGGCTTTACGATCAGCAAAACCAGACAGCAAAACTGTCAGGATGGAGAGTTGCCATGCACTGAGCATTTGCTAAGGCTAGGGCCATGCTAAGCACTTTTCAGTTGTGATTGCCTGGTAGAGACGATGCCCCCCACGCACTGCTATTGCGCACGTGATGAAATATTCCTAGAGAGATTCAAGGCCAGACCTGGGGTTGCAGAGCCCCTTTGCAAAGCAAGCTCAAGCCCCCGGCTGCCTGCTCTAGAGCCCTGCCACTTCCCACTTCCCCACACTGCTGGCCCGGCCTCTTCTCCCTCCAATCTGGCCCCGCTTCCTTCTGTTGTCCAGGCTCCAGCCAGAGCAATGGCTTAGAAATGAAAGCCTGATCCTGTCACCACCACCCTGGGGGGGTTGGCGGGGGAGAGACTCTCAGGTGGCTTCACTTTGCTCTCAGCTGTGGCCCCAGCCAACACTTCCTGCCTTGTCTGTCCCACATAGAGCTCCCCATCCTGCATCTGCCTGGAGCCTGGAATCCCCCGAGCCCTCCTCAGCCCCAGTCTTTACTTCTCAGCAAAGTGTCCTGACCCGACCTCTCGGATCAGACCTTTCACAGGCCCACCTACTGATGGCACTAGTCACAGCTGCCCATCAACATTGACTGGTGACCATTTCCCCCACTGGAGGATAATGGAGACTTCATCTTGTCTCTTTTCAATATTGTGAGTGGATGGAGTGCTTGTTGGGGCCTAAACTGTGGGTTGCATCATCTATTCCAGAGACTTTGGAAAAGTAATTTATGTTGTAAGTGATCTGCGCAGAGGAAAGAATTCTCAAGTTAATAAAGAGATGAAAATCGCCACGCCTTTACAACCTTAATATGTATTTCACATAGAAAGGCACCTCCTCGGAAACTCCTTTGTGATCCTAATAGATTCGGTCCAAACCCCATACACGGTCCTAACAATGCCCCCTGCACAGATGCCAGGGGGCCCACTGACCTTGGCAGCCCCGACAGAGTCAGCTTTGTATTTTTAATCCAGTTTTAACTCTTTTCTGCATTCATTCTGAGACAGAAAAACAAAACAAAACATAGACCGCGATGCCTGAGCAACCCAAGCAATAGATGAAGGTCCGAGTCACCAGCCTATTTTATGGAGACATGCCTCTCTGTAGTCCCATAAACCTAAATGGGGGGCGAGCGGGGTAGTCGATGAGTCAGCATAACGGGGGGCCAAGCGGGTTCAATGTTAAAGACATAAAAACCATCCCAGTCTCCTAGCACTAACACAGCTGCGGTGACGAGTTTGGGGAGCTTAACTGCTGTCAAAGTTGGCATCTGAGCCCATAAAAAGACAAGAAACTGCAAGTGTTTTTGA